GTCGGTGGAGACCTGAGGTGCAGTCAACATCAGATTATACCTTTTGAGACAGAACCATATACTTGCTGGGAGGAAGTACACCCAAACGAATTTTAGCCATGTCATTCATAGGGAGTTTTAAAATGAAAGGCCTGACGTAAAATGAGACGTCAATACTGACGCACCCCTTTTGCAAACCTAAAATTTTGAAGGCCTTGTCCCCCTCGCTAGGGGGACAAGGCACATGAATCCCGGCATGTGGATGAAATTTTTACCTTAAAGGAGGACCAGCAGAGATATTCTTCAGCCTGGCGGAAAGTCCTCCTCGCCCTCTTTTTTTCCCTTTCTCTCCTGTCTTGGAGCACGGCGAGGCGGGGGGAAGGGTCCCTTTTTGCGCCGGCTTCTTCTGAGAGGATAAGCCGAGAAAATCCCCATTGTGAGAGACGGGCGATGGGTTTGGCAGCAGCGACCTCGTGACTTACGGGTATCTTCAGCTCTTATCGCGTAATCTGCCCTATTTTTTGGCGCTCGCCAAGCCTATACTCCGTTTCACCTTCCGTCCGAGCACAGCGGACGCTAGGAGCCATCCCAGCCAATGCGGCGTTGAGGGAGTGTCATGCGACCTTGAGCTCCCTGTGTCGCCCCACCCCACCGGCAGGTCACGCGACTTTCTCCCGGCGCTGGATCGGCTGGGATGGCTCGTGGCGTCCACTGTGCTCGGACTGAAGGTGGAACGGAGTATAGCCCCTCGGGCGTACGGTTCACGGAGCTGCAAGGCTGCGCCCTTCCAGACACCGAATTTGAGCTGTCGAGGTTGTTTGGCTGTAGCCTGTGGCAAAGGAAACATACTTCGGAGCTGCGGTGCATCCCCACACCCATTGAAGGTACGTTTCATAGATATTCTCGGTTGATCAAGGAGCTTAGAACACATGCGCGAGATGTGGTGACTTCAATATGTGAGGTTGACTGACATATTCACAAAACATTCCATCTTCAAGAGACAGGCTTATTACGCTCAAACCTGCCTCAATCGGGATCGCTGGAAGACAGAACTATGTACCAGGCGCGGGAATCTTGTAGCGTATCTCTGTTTTCTAGCAGCGAGCACAAATCATTGTGTGCGTAACTCACACTATATGATGGCCAACAAATGTAGATGACATTTATATTTACACATCCCAACAACCGCATGAGGTGAGAAGGCAGCAGTTGTGTGTGTCGATATTTAAAAAAGTTTTAGTGGATCGTTTTAGCTCTTGGATAACCGTATCCTACGTCAATATATAAGCTATACCCTTTCTGTGAGCATTATTTATCGAGTGCGGCTATCGAAGCGTGTCGTGTTATAGTTCAACGTTGCTAAATCGGTGCTATAGCACGTGCTGCCGCTTTAAAGTATTTTTGAGCCATTAAAATAAAAGAATAAACTAAACGTAGGCGATTTTTTTTTTAACATGAAACGCGTTTGTAATTTTTCATTGCAAATAGATTTTAGGTATACTGCCACACAGTTAGCAAGGACAAACTATCGCTGGTTTTTCTCGTTTTGTTTTCTTAGAAGTAAATGATGTTTAGGAAACTGTTAATGTGAGTATTCAACCTAAGTGGCAGAGCTTAGTGCTAGACAATACATGTTGCTGGGCAGAAATAGTAAAAAGCGCCAATGTCACGTTCGGGCTAACACTGCCACGTAATGTACGAATACCGCTACAAAATCAGCGCAAGCATATTATGGGAATGGATTTATTACAGAATTTGTTTTAATAGGTGAAAGGTTGCCATTCTTATACAAGCAATTCGAAAAAGAATGCTTCTATTGGGCGCCGCCAACGGTTCGGCAAGCTGGGCTAATGAATCGCGAACAATGAGAGCAGCATGCCGGCAGTCGCCATTTTCTCTAAGCGGAGTTTTGAGGCGATTCGACAATCTGTTGTCGCTGAGACGGCGTTCGTTAAAACGAGCCTCTCTAAACCGCATCCCACAACTTTGCGTACACTGTTTATTGAGTCGCACCTCCTTTTTTATCAAGCTCAACAGAGCGCTGTAGGGAGGCAAACAGATGACTTCGTTCAATGCAAACTTTTTTCTCAATTAGTTTTGTTTCAATCGAATTATATGCCTGTATAACTAACGTGGTTTCTCTATACTCCCTGTAGGTGTATAACGTTCAGCGGACGGCCAGATGGAGTGCACCGAATGTTTTTGCGCTCCGTGTATACTGACCCAAGGCCACGTGAGGGTGGGGATGGGCCAGGCACCGTCGTCCAAGAATCCTGGGGTTCGCAAAAAGTATTACAGAATGTACTGGGCCTGCCTGGCAAATCTGGCCGCTTGGCGTGACCCCAGGTACTTGGAGAAGAAGAGACAAGCCGGCCAAGGAGTATATACTAAGCGTGAATTGATGCCAGTGTGCGTAGTTGCACACGTCCGGTGCCTGTATCCAAACCCACCTGGTGTTCCCTACATGGGGCACATGTGGGAGTAAACTATTTGTGTATAAAGTCTCTGGATTCAGCGCCTTTCTTTCTGTGCCTAGTTATTAGTGCAGTGTTAGCACGTTAAATGTCTCAAATCTGTAGTCCACCTTTTTTTCTTGAAACACCTAGTGCGGATGCCCTCTATCCATCGTCCCTGCGTGGGTTCGGGAAAGCGTTTTGCCCCACCAAATTCGCCATATTGTTTGTTCCACTCTGGTGAGGGGCGAGCCGCGTGAGTAACGCTGACTCGTGTAGCTCTTAGCAGGCTCTCGCCACCGAGTCACAAGTCGGTGCCTGCATCGCGACTGCTGGTTTAGGTGACCAGCGTTTCGTCAAGCTGTTTTTACAGCTTTCTTTCCGTGTCACCTTTTCAACATTGTTTTTGTTGAAAAAAAATAGAGGTACTAATATTATTATAACCTCGCGTAAAGTTCAATAAGGGAGCACGACCTCGAGCGTTTTCAACAGCCGGTGGTATAGGTAGCAATGGGGCTGTACAACACTAGAGCGCACGTTAGAAGAACGCCGACATTAGACCGCCGACAGTAGAGCGCCACGACGTTAGCTCGCGCGACATGAGAGCGCCGCAACGTTAGAGCGCACGACTCGAAAGCGCTGCGACGTTAGCGCGCGCGACTCGAGAGCACGTCGAGAGCGCACAACCAGTCAAGCGCGAGTGGCCCAACCACTTCTTCGGGCATCGCGTGCTTTATGTAAAATTGGCGGGGATTTACGCCGTGGCATTCGGCAAGGACATTGCGAAATGAGTCGACGAATTTTTTTCGTGTAACAAACCAAGAAATGTTTCAAAAAACTGACAGCAAAAAAAAAAAAAAAAGGATTATCTGTAGCGTATATTTCCGCAGAAAAAAAAAATGCAGCTGATCTATATAGCTCCATTAGTTTTCTGATGTTATATCTCACAGATTTGAAGGGGAGGTTTTTATGTATCCGTCAAAAGACTGGAAAGCTTTGCATCCGATAAAACTGCTCTGAGCTTTCCTTCGATGAGTGTTTTACTAAACTTTTTTAGCGGTGAGCTTTTTCCATTACGGTCATGGACGTCAAAATACTATTAAAGTTATGCGAGAAACGTCCCAATAACCGCCAAAATGATAGGGGTCCAAATGCCTGTCAAAAATAGACCAAATATAGCAAAAAGCAAACATTTATTGTATATCCGAGAGACGCACCGCATTACCGTGAAGAAATCTTAGACTCGCTGCTCCACCCAACTGCAGGCATTCCCGTTACCTATATGGCCACACCCTTGCCCCCTTCTCTCTTCTATGTCAGCAAACAATTGGTTAGAAGGAGCCGTACCCTTTTTATTTTTATTTTTTTATTAAAGGCATCTTTAATAAATCGAAAATCGCCAATGCTCCGATTCGATGAGTCGCACAATTTAGTTCTGTCTGTGCAGCCGCGGGTACATACCACAATTTGCAGTGTTCGCTCAACTGGGGTGCGCTCTCGTGACATGCGCTCTGGTATCAAGCGCGCTACTGTCGCAGAGCCTTCGCGTCGCGCGCTCTAACGTCGGCGCTCTAGTGTCGCGCGTTCTAAAGGTACCCTCCCAGCAATCGGCTGCCTAAATTACTATTGGCCGGATTCGGAGAAAAGCTTTTCTTTCACTTTCCGTGCGCTGATAATTTTCCCGTCATACAGTTGGCGTGGATACGTGACGTCAGCAGCGAAATAACACCACACACGGTCCCGAGTAAGGCTCGTACCGTCGTGAAAATTACGGACTTCCTGGTCCGCCTCAAATGCGAACAGAATTTCCTCATCTCAAAAAATCGCAACACGACAGCCCCGAAACGTAAATAACGTTTGCAAAATGCCGACGACAATATATACAACGCAAACTAAAAACCAAAACTGAAGAAGCCATGGTTATGGTACCGCGGTACAAGAGCGCGATTTCTGGTGCGGATCCGTCTTGAACCCAGCCGCATAATTCTACAAATATTCAATCCTCTTAGGCAAGTGCATAAATTGCAAAATTATATTGCACATTTATTTTCAAAATAAATAGGGCATGGTGCGCAGAGGAATTGTTAGCTTAGTTTGTTAAAAAAAATTGGAAAAAACGAGAACGGAAAAACAGTGTATCACTCACTAGCAGACAGATATCGAGCCTAACTTAGATAAATATACGTATAACACCGAAACAAATATTGCCAATGCCAGAACACGCGCGGTGCGTCAGAAAATACTCGCAATATACTGTGCGTAAAAGGCTGTGCTTTTCTTGTGAGTCTCGACTGCAATCAAATTAATTTTTCTCTTCAGCTAATCTATTTTTTTATCGAAATTATTAATATCTCGTTCAAGACTCACGAGAGGCACAGCCAAGAGGTGATGTACATTCTGCTGAGCTCTGATCTATTTATGCGCTAAGTGTAAAAGGGTGAGCACTTTATATACTCTGAAACCCCTCGACGGGCGTTTATTCGGAATTTGTACTTCGGAAGATCACACCCTGGTTGAAGCTCTGTAGCAATTGTATGTACCGGTTAGCGTTCACTTTCTCTTGTGTGTCATCTGTATTTGGCAACGACAAAAGATTGTCATGAAAATTGTATATTTGCATAATAATTACAGGTACATCTTTGAGTCCGCGGAATGGCTTTTTCTGTCCCTTGTCCAGTGATGTCCCGAGCTGGGAAATAAAAACAAACAAACATGTAGAAGTACACACAACAATTGCCCAACTGTTCTAATGAAATAAGCTTGCTTGTTATTATACGTCAATGGTACTAGTTTAAATTTACATTAGGCATACCTATAAGTTATACACTCTCGTCATTCACAAGGGAGTCGTCATTCACCGTGCTGGCATCTCCCAGGGCAGCAGACCGAAGCACCAACTCTCGAATCTTTTGAACGAAGCTGGAGGAAAAGAATACAGGATTAGTATTCCATGGCAACACTGTACACTTCAAAATATTCTACCTGTATGTCTTCCTGAAGTACTTCCTTTTCCCGCCTTGCAGGTCTGGATGACGACAGTCCTCAATAGAGTAACGTGAAGTGTAGCCTCGCCCAACATGCTCATTCCAGTCTAGGAGTGCCAAGCTCTGCCTCAGTTTGTAGCTTCTGTCCTGGTAATGAATCCTCTTCTGGAGGTAAATTAGCATAGTATTATTGAATGACTCTACATATATATCCTTCGACTTTACGTAATCTTCCGCGTTCTTGTAGATGGTTGCTGATTTCAGAAATTTTGTTAGAAGTTCCGACGCTAGCGGGTCTTTCACGAGCAGCGTTGTCGGGACATGTCCATTTTCTTTGCAAATCGATTCCTCGCTGCATTTCTCGTGTTTACCTTCAAAATGGTTTACGCAGTTTATGAAAATATCTCTTAGCTTGGTTGGATTCCCCTCACAAGCGGCCATAGCATAGTACGCGTGGTTACGGACCGCTTGGCACTTGTCGGACAGCTCCACGTGCCATGTCTTGCCCTCGTTCCTCTTCGGTCCAGATGAAATTGCAAGAAATCCTTTCTTGAGGCTCTTCGCAGCGTGCCAGCGGTCGTTGGAGTTGGATGGCCCGTTTTTTTCTCTGATTATTTTATTGACTGTGGTGTTGCGGTCGTGTGCGTGATCTAGCACGGAGATCTTTTTAGAATCGAAGTACTCGTACAGCTTTTTGGTACCAAACGCTTCGTGCTTTTGGGAAGATAGTTCATCCTTTTTGTTTACGTGAACAATCCCTACAACTTTGTGGGTCATTTGGCCAAGCGCGACGACATCTGTGTGAGTGGAGTTCTTCCGGCAAGCGTGCCGAGCATCAGTCTCGACATTAATTGCTGTCGAAGTGGGGTCATGTTGCTCGGTGGCCCTTGATTCGCCCTCTTGCGCGGCTGCCAGGCTTTCAAGCTTGAGCAATTCTACAGCACCTTCGATATCTACAAGCAATTTCTCCACAGTGCGAGGGGAGTATGGCAATTTGCTAAAATTGCAAAACTTTTCAAACTGCGTCGCCAGAACTCCAGAGGAGGCATACGCCACCGTCAGCAAACAGTCTACAGCCCGGACGGAACCGACAACCGTGCTTGTGTTGAGCACCAGTGAATGGTTAATACACTTACAATGTATTCGTGATGCGAAACCCCAGGCGGTCACTTTCTCCAAAATAAGACTTTCCTTGCACTCTGAACTATGCTTCTCTACAGTCTGAATGACATCCCATAGCGCGGCTTTGTCGCAAACAACTAGGCATGGATCCCCTACAGGGTCAGGCGTGATCGCGCGCGATTCCGCTTCTTGATGCAGCGGCTTCGGTGTGTTGCACACAGCATTCGACGATCGTTCTTCTGAATTCCGTGTTTCAAGAAATCGTCGCAGCGCCTTGATTATCACAGCTGACAACGAGTCACACCTATTAACGGCTTTGGCTTGCTTTATCAAGTCGTCAAAAGCAGTCATCTCCGAGGTTTCAGAAAAAGTGAGGTTCAGGCTTCGTCGGAGATTGCTATGGTTACACACGTATACCTTTTTAATTCCATCTCGCATACGCTTCTTGCTCAAGTAAACAGGGGAATCTGACTTTTCGCTCATCTTGGCCTTTGGCGCGACTGTTTAAAGTTCTGAAACAAACAAAGCAAAGGTGATTTAATTAACTGAAGATTATAGGTTGAGCGAACTATTTACAAAATTTGAGGTTCCCTGAGCAGCCTTTTGTATTCAATTCCCCCTCCCCTCACCACCCCACTTCCTTTCCTCTAAATAAACAACGTAGATTATTTCATGAACCACCAGTAATAGAGCGTACTCGCAAAATGTCTATTTGATGTAAAAAAGGCCTTGTTTAAATGTTCAAGCAATGAACTGGTCTTATTTTTGTGCGTGACACGCTAAGCACGAACACAATATTGCCATTTCTACTCAAGGGCCATGCAGAATTTAGTATACAAGAACAAACTGATGCCTCGTAGGTTGGTGCCCAATGGAAGCACTCCTTACCGAATTGATTATATAAAAATAACAACTTTTCAACTATAAAAAATTAACACCACTTTTTTTTTCCCTAACTTTGCTGATTTACTCCGTTTCCGTTGATTGTGTAGCGGTACGCGTACATTACGCGAAACTGTTCGCGCGAACAACATCGGCGCTTTTTGCTATTTTCCACAGCAATGTATTGGCTCGCACTAAAATCTACCGCTTAGGTTGGATACTCGTATTAACAGCTTTCTAAACATCATTCCTTTCTAAGAACGAAAAAAAAAAATAGGGGGGAGGAGAAAGACCGGCGATAGTTTGTTCGTGCTAACTGTATGGTGTAAGGCGCCTAAAATGTTTTTATAATGTTAAATTACAATTTTGTGCCACATTAAAAAACATTGTCTGCTTTTGCTTTAGTCTTTATTTGAGACACAACAAATACTTCAAAGCGGCGCGCGGCCCGTGCTATAGTACCAATACAAGCAAAGTTGAACCATAATACGACCCGCTAGACTCGCCAATATTGCGTTTCCCACTCCATAGCCGCACTCGATAAAGGATGTTCACAGCGAGTCTAGCTTACATATCGTTGTGGGGTACGGGCCGTACGGTCATCGAAGTGCTAAAAGCGACCCACTAAAACTTTGATATTGACATCCACACCAGAAATGCCCTCTCACCTCAGATGGTTGTTAGAATGTGTAAATATGAATTTCATATATTTTGCAGGCCATCATGTTCTGCGAGTTAGACACACAACAGGAGATTCTAGTAAATCGTTTTCAAAGGCCCACTACCACTTTAGACGCGCGCTTCAGAGAATGCATCGAAGTGGCAGCGCGAGTTTCCGCTAAATATAGCGTGGCCTGAAAACATACTAAAGTTCTCCAATAATTTGTGCCCGCTGTACGAAAACAGAGATCCGCTACAAGATGCCCGCGCCTGGTACATAGCAATTTGCGGCAGGTTTGAGCGTAATAAGCCGGTTTTTTGAAGATGGAATGTTTTGTGAATATGTAAGTTATCCTTACATATTGAAGTCACCACATCTCGCGCATGTGTTCTGAGCTCCTTGATCAACCAAGAATATCTATGAAGCGTACCTTCAATGGGTGTGTTGATGCACCGCAGCTCCCAAGTATGCGTTTATTTTGACACGGGCTACAGTCAAACAAATTTGACAGCTGAAAATCGGTGACTGGGAGGGTGCAGCCTTGCAGCTCCGTGAAACCTGCCCCCGAGGGGCTAGGCTTGGCGAGCGCCAAAAAATAGGTCAGAGTACGCTATAGGAGCTGTAGGTACCCGTAAGTCACGAAGTCGCTGCTGCCACACCTATCGCCCGTCGGTCAGAATGGGGATTTTCTCGGCTTATCCTCTCAGAAGAAGCCGGCGCAAAAAGGGACCCTTCCCCCCGCCTCGCCGTGCTGCAAGACAGGAGAGAAAGGGAAAAAAAGAGGGCGAGGAGGACTTTCCGCCAGGCTGAAGAATATCTCTGCTGGTCCTCCTTTAAGATCCTGACTCAATGCCCATCCCCGAATATTCGACCACCACACTTTTAGAAAAAGATAACTTTTTAAAAAACACCAAGTCATCGACCACCCCTACAAAAGCCTGAACCAAGCCTACTCGTACCGTGGCTTGTTTGCTCCGTGCCGCCCCCGAGTTAATTCGGGCTGACAATGTTTCTTTTTTCAAATGGAACCCACATTCTTAGTTTCGGTTTCACTTGTAGAGGCAGGTGGATACTTTTGTAAAGCTTCCTCCCTATGCGCTTCCGAGTCAACATTTTTGCAATGGCCAACCCCCGGGGTTTGATTTTTGCGCTCCTTGACAAATGCTGAAACTCATATAGCAGTGATGTGATTGGCCTAAGCCATTTTGAAGCGCCTTTTGGAGCAGCCAAAACAGTGTTTTGGAGCAGAAAAAGTAGCTTTTAAAGCAGATATTCTAATAAAAATAAAAATATTTGTCTTAAATGCTGGACACGCGAAGAGAATCTTGCTCGCCGAAATAAACCAATTATGGTCAAGTTCGGCCACCTGGGAGTCTTTCAAGATGTAACTGAAATTCCAATGACATGACAGATTTCTTTTTGCTTTTCGAAACATTCTGCAAGGCTGGAGCAAGCTTTGCTTTAGCTTAGGGTAGTAATGAATGTCCAATTTCAATGTCTCCAAAGAGACATTGCGACATCCCACAAGTGTACAGTGCTATAGGCGTTGCCAAGCAATTCCGAAAAACCGCTTGCCACCGTTTTACTGATTGCCGACGTGCCAGATTATCGTTAAAAGTAATTAAATGTAAAACAATGAATTGCAAGCGTCCCGGCTGGTGCCTCTGTCGTGCAATTATGTTCGCATCGCTGGTTCGCATGCACGTGAGGGCAACTCCGGCAGGCTTGCAGGGTGCACGTGCTTTGTCGCGCGAGCGAAACGGCTGTTCGATCGAAACCGAAACCATGCCTTTCTGCTCCGTCGCCAACTGGTTGCCAAAAGTCTATGCAAAATGTAACTGCCCAGCATGCGACAAAAAAGAGTCCAGCGCCGCGTGCTTGCAAGGCCGGCAGGCGAGGTACAAGCTAAACACAGAAAAAAAAGAACCTGAGCGCATTGATGCAAGACATCGCGAGCCAGGGTCGCTTTGTGCAACGACTGAACTCGAGACAAACAAGCGCGCTCTGTGGGTTCAGCGTGCAGACATTCCCTTCTTTGCTTTAGCTCACTTCAACTTTTCTTCGCGACAGATTTTTTCACGTACCGGGGTCCCTCTCGAAAGAAAGCCCACCAAGAGAAACCTACGTAATCAATACTTCGACACAGCAGTCTTTGAGTTAGAGAGGGATTTTCGTAGCACCATATGTTTTAAACAAGAATGTGAATGTTGATGAACATGCGGCGGTCCTTATGTTTCAGTTTAGGAAGCTCCATATCTACAACGCCGTGTGGCCGTTGATTTCAGGAGAGAGAGCTTCAGCTCAAAAGGTAACTCCCGCCGCGCCGAAACATAGTTTCGTTTCACAGCGTCACGTCATGGCTGGTACCCAGCACGCTAGCGTCGACGGCATGGCGGAAAAAACCATGCAAAAAACTATGGACGATTGATGCAGGGTATTTTGTGTCGGGCGGCCGTTTGCGCCGCCTAGCTCATGCATGCTCAGTTACGGTACTTAGTTTAGTCTCAGTTCTGAAAGGCGACCAAAATTGGCCCTTTGGCGCAGGCTTGGCGCAGATTACCCATATTTTGGCAAAATGTAGCAGGATGTAGCAGGGTTAGCCCCTTGGCGCAGTTTGGCACTATTGGCGCAGCCATCACATCACTGATATAGGCAGGCAATAGCTCACCTTGAAAATACTTGCTCTTGGTGGCCGAGAACAAACTCGTGTTCCTGATTGGCAGCCATGTGCAGCGAAGAATACCTGCACATATCCTAAAGAACCCAGTCTTAGTCTAATACAGATGCTTTGGCAGGACAGAGACACAAAAGCCTGACACAAGACCACTATAAAGACAGGAAATAGAGTGTCTGTCAGGAATAAAACACACAACTCAGATAGGCATCAATCACTCACCTTGAAAGCACTTGCGATGAGCGGCAAAGAGCAAACTTCTGGCCTTGATTGGCTGGGGCTTGCCACCAAGACCTGCATGTATAAGAAAGAACCCAATCTTAGTCAAACTTGGGTGTTTTTGCAGAAGAGACACAACAAAATACCAAAGCAAGACCACAACACATAGGAAACGGCATCCAAGAGGAATGCAACACAAAACTCATATAGGCGGGTAATAGCTCACCTTGAAAATACTTGCTCTTGGTAGCCGAAAACAAACTCATGTTCCTGATTGGTAGCCATTTGCTGCGAAGAATACCTGCACATATCCAAAAAAGAAACCAGTCTGAGTCTAACACAGATGCTTTGGCCGGACAGACACAAAAGTCTGATACAAACCACAAAAAGCAGGAAATAGTGTCTGCGAGAGATGAAAACAGACCCAGGTGGAGAGGCTGCTTCTGTTTCACCTTAGTCAAATAGTGTAGCTCATTTTGCTAAAACAATGCATATTTGCTAAAAAATGTATAATATATATTTTGCCCCATTTAGCAGAGTTTACTGCCAAGGGTACCTGTACACCAGAATAAGTCAGACTTAGTCAGTTTTTTTTCTTTTGATGAGCGACAACAGAATACTAAACAGGTGATGAAACAAAATATAAGCCTACCAAGCCAGGCTAGTTTGCCTTGATGCAAGTACAGTGCCTCGGCCGACAAATGAGGTTCTATTCTTGGTCACTTGTCATATTTGGCGGGAATAGTAAAGTAAATGAAAATAAGGCTATCTCTCTTGCAGCCGACAGCTGCAAACGAAATTCATATACCTCGATAAACGACCTAAAAATAAAATTGGGTGGTGGCGAAGTAATTTATGGTGTCAAATTTCAAATTTACAGACTGTGCAGTTCTGGTTTAAGTCCTCCTGGTGTATACTTTTATCCTTATTGATTATATTTAAATTTATTATTATTTTTTAAACACTAGCACATCATTTATACGCTAATTCACCTTTAGAAGTGTTTTAAGAATACTCCACAGCTTCCTAGTGCTCGTAATAAATTCTCAATCAAAGCGGCTTTCAATTTTTTTCTTGCTCTCGCTGCTGCTTGCTTCCTCACCCTTAAAATGCTGACAACCCGACACAAAAGTAATAAAAAAAAATGTGCTTCAAATGTGATGAAGATGAGCATTTCCAAGTTGTACCCTTGCTTCATGCCCTGACCAAGCTACCATACCGTAGCTGAGTGCAGCGACGAATGGTCCCAGGTGCTGTGACCCGACCGTATATAGCCTTACAGTGGCGCGACTCATGCAGCCCCTATGCTTGATGATGGAGCCAGTGTGCGAGGTGCGACCTGCTTGAGCTGTGCAAGCCACAGCTTTACAGACTGCAAAGGGTGGGAAGATGCCCCTCCCTTTGCAGAGCTTGCAATAGCTCAACAAGAAGCTATTGCAAGCACTAGGGAGCCAGTGTGTGAATAAAAGCACTTCTGGATGTGAATTAGTGTGTAAATTATGAGTCTATACGTTAAAACTTAAAAAAAAAGTATTATTTATAAATATAAAATATATATATATACTGTAAACGACTTTCGAGAGGACCTAATTTTCGCCGATTTTGCGAATCGCCTACAAACGCGAAAAATATGTCCCGCGAACAACTCGGGCAATATGTGAACACTACGGAAGCTACGCTCGATTCGCGAAAATTAGAACCCGCGAATAATTTCATATTTTCAGCTTTGGCCCGATTTGCAAAAATTTGAGCCCGCGAAAATTAAGTCGTTAAGAGTATACTAAAAAAAAGGCAAAAAGAAAAGAGACGTCTCCAGGTGGGTTTGAACCCAGAGCTCCACTGCCCTTGATTTCAGTTCCCTAAGGCCCGCTTCAGACGGGGCAACCTTTCAAGCAATTTTCAGGTTGATGGCGGGTTGTTCCCTAGGTTTTCCCAGATCAGCACGAATTTCTGAGATCAGGTTCGGCTCAAAGCAGACAAGCAACTCGAACAAACTGGAGAAATTTGAAGCGGCAGCAGCCAATAAGGGACGCAATATTTTCACGTGAGACCCCTGTGGTGGTGAGGATGACAGCTGAAGACTTGGTCCTGGTTTGAAATGGATCGTTTTTGGAAATAAACTTTTTTCAGAAACATGAGTGAGTATTCTCAACGGCACTCAAAGATATAAAAACATGTTTTTAGCACGTAGTTGTGCGTCTATATAGTGCAAGAAAAATCAAATTTCATGATGATGATGGCAAGTCGTAGCAATTCGGTTGCAGCTTGTGAACGCAGGCGGCCTGTGTTACTGGTGTTGTGACGTTAAGTTGCTGGGGTAAATTGCCCCGTCTGAAGTGGGCCTTAGACTCGCTTCCACCGTTCATGCTCAGCGAGCAAGTCCGCTTCAACCGTTCACACCTCAAGGCAAGCTGGACAGCTACAAGCCACCTAGATGTCTACCGCCGCATCCCTGGCCAGGTCGTGACGCGACATAACTTATTAAAAGTCTTGCTGTCACTGCCACGACCGGCCAGAGTGAAGTCGATAAAGAATCACACAAATCATTTCGTAGCTTTCTTGGAACGACCCCCCTCAAGGGAGAGTCGTCCCTCTGCCCTTCGTCGATTGTTGGACTGACGCGAAGCAACTAGCCGTCTTAACCCAGCAGTTACAAATCATAGTGCTCATTAACTCGCCTGCCAGCGTTCCCGGTGCCAACCGCAATTTCCGCCAGTTTACCCGACACCCGCTGACAATCTCGTCTGCCAGTGTTCCCGGTGTCAACTGCCATTTCCACAATATTTCCAACACCCACTGACGAACACCCATCTGCACTCCAGGCCTCGACAAGCGCTTACTTACCTACCGCATCACCCCAAGCCTAAATCTGCAATGAGTCCTGGCTGCTTCCCCTCCTGCCACTCGTTATCCTGCCTTCCAGCGAACATGCAGTGGATCTCCTCTGCCTCTGAAGACGACTTTCTTACATCTTAAACGCGCTCCCCGTCTCCTGCCAACCACTATTCTGGGATACCCGAGAAAGCGTGTCTGCAACCTCGTTCTTCGAGCCCTTTAGGTACTCAGTTCGAGGAAACGCCTGCTGAGCTCTGCCGTGAGACAAGTCGCCAAAATTTCAACATATTTGTCTCAACCGGCATCGATAGCGTTAGTGAACAACCCGCTCAATGAATCCGTGAGACTCCCTGGGGACGACTAGAAGCAGAGGCATACCGAACGAGCCCCACGTTGGATGTGCCATTTTAGTGTTGGTTTCTTTATGGAGTTCGCTTAGCTACTAATAATCACCGCAGAATCGGTATGCGCTCCGCCCGTCACCCTGGGAGTGACATACAGTAACAAGAAGACAGCGAATAAGTTGACTGTAGCTCACGGTTGCCCGTCGTTCAGAGCCGGCAGTCCAGGCACGCCGACCCTTGTTGTCGCCCGTCGATCAGGGCTCACAGTCGGAGTCAGTGTCCAGGCCTGCGGATCGTCCTTGCCACGCCAGCGCTGCGTAGGCTGGCTGTCCCGGGCTATCACTGCCCGAGTCTCGCTGCGGGACCACCCCAGGATCGTCGTGGCCTAGGCTAGATGGCCAGGACTCGCCGTTTCTACCGGTCCGGACTTCGAACCTCGCTGGTGGACCGCTCCGGGGTTCGGCATGGGCCAGGCCAGGCAGCCCGGCTCCAATGTTCCTGCCCAGCTCCAGCCTTGCTCAGCACGCACTGTCTCGCGCCAGCTCGTGACTTCTCCGCCGACCGTCTGTCCTGTGCCCTCTGCCTCGTCTTTCACCCTTGGCTCCCACGAAGTTAAGGAAAGGGAATGTACCATTATGTTCAGTGAAGTTCGGTGAGAAAACCCGTGACTCGAGCAGGAATGCCGTTATCCTTGATGTGACCCTATGAGACTCTCTTGCTGTCTTTGCTGGGGTTTATCTAACTAAAGTACCTGTACGAAAAGTAGAAGAAACATATGTGCATAACACTCATTATTCACAAGAAAATTTGTCAACATCCAAAATGACCCATGGAGAAAATTATGCGAGGAATTTGTCAGCCACGTTGGCCAAGTCACCTCTCCTGGCCAATGTTTCATTGCAACTTTAATTCTAGTAAACAGTCATAGGGTATATTACAAAGTGCAATTTTGTTTTGTATGAAACTACAACACACAAAACAGCACTCTAATACAGTATGTATAGGGTTGTTCATTTTCGGGTAAAACCCGATTTTACCCGATTTTCACACCCCAAACATGTTTCAGAAAAATCGGGTTAAACCCGATTTCTCCCCGAATTCTAAAACCACATAACCAACCTATTTCTTTTTACTCTGCGTGGAGTTCGCGTTGCACACACGCTATCTACCTGACCTCGGGAGAACAGTGACCTATAGTTCATTTCGCAAACTGCGTGCAGCACTGCGGACGCCTCCCCCCCCCTACACCACTCTCAACCAACCGCCCAACTCACCGTGCCATTTTACGGAGGCCGGCTGAGGAAAAGCGACAATAGGCGTTGGGGCCTCGGAGGGACATTTCCGTCCCCCCGCTGTGCAGGTGGAACCACCTTGGCACGCCATGTACCTTTGACCCTGCTACATGCAGCTAATAAAATGCACTATCAATACCCTTTCGACCGCTCTTAGGTGTCGACGCCCAGCAAGGTCTCTGGGGTAGCATGGCCATCTCACTGGCGTCCGACCTTTCACACGAAGAATGTCCGAGTCTGTCAGTTGCGTAAACAGATCGGAATAATTTAACAGGTTTATTGCATAGCGAAATATCTGCTCGAAGATAACCATCCCTCGAACGGTCGGGGTTTTTGTTGACATCTGAGGGAGAGGAGGATTCCGTGGGCGATGCTTCCCTTGAAGCGACAGACGGCAATCGGAGCTAGAAAACCCTGATGTCCCCCGATTACCAGCTTGAAACAGACCCCTAATTTTAACGTGTTAGCGTTAGGTAGCTTCTAATACCCTTAAATAATAAAAAAAATTGTATCTTTTACTGAGTACATTTGTAAATGCAACCCAAAAAAACCCGAATTTCGGAATGTTCCCACAAAAAACCCGATTTCTCCCCGATTATCAGCTGAGAGATAGCACCCGAGTTTTACCCCCCCCCCCCCCCCCCCGAATTTAAAAAATATAAAACCCGAAAAAACAAACAACCCTAAGTATTTAGAGGTACCTCTAAACAAATTCCAGGGTTTTATGGAGCCTCCTTCAGATAACTGATGTTGAACATAAACTATGTGCACCAAGGAGTGAGCAAACCGTGACTTCCAATTAGTCTCAAGCACCAGCGACATGTCGACAAGGAGTGCAATGTGTAGAATGTCGTCTAGAAGTGTGCAGCCAAGATGAAAAGGCGAGATATAACGATATCAGAATAAGATCACACCAAGAAGGTTCCGTTACAATCTAGGCACAGTAATGAGTCAACCGACGTACAGCCGCGATTCACTTTGCGTTGAGGCGAAACATGGCCAACAAAATATAAAAAAACGCGTTTTTTTTTTCTGTACATTATTTGCTTTGCATCGTTGATAGAAGGACAGTTGGGCGGCGTCACAAAGTCACTCGCTAGCGTTTTTCAAATTCGTTCATCGGCACTCATGGTCTACCCGGGAGGAGAAAAGTACGAGCTCAGAGCCGAGCCGCCGAGCGTCGATTGCGACTTTCCTAAAGAGAAGCTCCGGTAACACATCGGCGACTCGTCAGCTTCAAACAACGCCTCTTCGAACGAGCCTGACGCGCCAGCGAATCCAATGTGCCGAACGGTCGCGGCAGAAAGCACGCCGGAAGGAAGGGGGCTGGAGGCTGAGTATCCGAAAGAGACGCGGCGCTGGTTTCTACGTCCATTTCGCACATGAGATAACAAACAGGCAAAGCTAGCCGAGTGTGAACAGTGACTGACGTTACATTGGAGCACACGCAGTCGAAATGACGCCTGTAACAGAGCACAGCTAAAGGCTTTCAACAGGGGACACATGCGTTCAAAAAGGCCGCGATTTAAAAACTTCACGTCTTTTTTCTGTCCTTCGGTGCTTACTTTGATCCGCGTACACCAAAGCACTCAATGCTGCAAGTAATAGAGTCGTGTATACGTACCTTTCGAAGCAATTCAAAGTGTGTAGGTTTCGCTCGATGCCCACGAGCACAGAGTGCGACGAATGCCAATCACTCCGGCAGCGCGACCAGCGCGACGGCGCCGGCTGGGTCGCCCGGTCGCGCAACCGACGCCCGCCCGCTGCGCACTGCGCCTGCGCATGCTCGGCTTGGCAACTCTCTCAGCGCGGCGGGGCGCGGGCTCGCCGGGCGGCCGGGCTCGCTCCCTTTGAAGTTTGAACAGTTCGAAGTTCAAACTGCTTCCGGAACGCGAGCTTGCGCGCGCGCGCGCGGGTTGGCGATGGAAACTAATAGACCAGTGTCCGCGTCAATTCCGGGGCGCCGCCATGTTTATCTACGCTCGCGCCACCACGCGGAAAGAACTGGCAGGCAGGGAGGGGGGGCTGCGTTGGCGGCGTTGCTTTGGGTAGCTGGATGCGGCAGGCTGTCCGAATGCACCGACACATCGTGAAAGATGTCTTCACCAGAAGCCTCTGCGGCCCGTTCTTCAACAGGCAAGATGTCGTGAACATTCGAGAACCCATCTCGATTAAGGAAAATAAGGGAAAACCATTTTTGTCTTAGATGTTCTCGGTGTCTGCTGACCCTTGACATCCGCGTTTCAGTCCGGGTTCATTGCGTAGTAAATATTTCGCTACCGCTTTCTTGTAGCTTTCAAATGCTTGATTGTTGGCTTCTTGTATACGACATTACATTCGTGGCACGTTTGAGACCGATTTTCGCGATCTGCTTGCCTTTCTGCGGCAGCGCGGCTCTACCGAGCCGAAATAAGTGGGAGGCGTTCACTTGATCGAACGCAGTTTTAGCGAATGAAAACGAGACTACGACGTTTCATCGAATGACTAGCGAATGGGTCTAGTTACATAGACAGCTCGGATTAGCTTTCTTTTGTAATGTGGCGCCTTGTCTGCCGCTGCGAAGCGGCGTAAACGAGGGCTCCGAGTATGTTAGCACGCGTCCCCCCCCCCCCCAACACACACACAAACACACACTGCGAGCGTCTGGGTTCGAAACTATTAATTGCCAGTTCTAAAGGATGGTACTTACTTGAAGTGGGAGCTGGAATTCTACGAGGTACCAGGAGACACTATCGGGCAACGAAGCACGGTGCCTGTGGGGGCGGAGTCTAGGAACGCTACCGATTAATATTGTGACAGGCGATCAGTTATGATAGCAGACGAAACTTCGACTCGTTTGTTCAGAAGTTCGCGGTGATATTTTATTAGCCCTCGTTACAGCACACCAAGGATCTTAGGCAGTGAAATTCACATCACGCAGGCTCGTCCGTCGTAGTCAAATGAGCGCAGTCGACGATGAGGTGTAATGAGCTACTAAGCTTCACAAGGAAAATGCGCGTGAGAAAGAGTTTTGAGGAAGTCCAAAACACCGATCCAGCAGACGCACGTACGTACGTTTACTCCGGACTTCATGAACCCGACGGCGCAAGATCAAAGAGCACCGACGCCATCGCCACCAGGTTTTCTCTGCACTTTGCGCGACGACGGCACTGCAACGGAGGGCACTCGCCTCGGCGTTAACAATCCGCGAAATAGATTAATTTCCCTCTCTTGAAGCCATTCCAAATGATAAATGAAAATACCTCGGCGTTGTTGAACATCTGACGACACAACCAACACAACTGTGCCGCTGGCTGCGTGAGCCTGACACAAATGTGCCGAGCGCCTGCTCGGCACCGTTGTTGCTCGTGAAAGCCTGCTTATTTGTAGTTGAGACGATGATTCCACATCTTTCGTGGTGCTTGCAATAACTTCGAAGGGCAGGGGAACCTTCTCACGAGGACGTTGAAGACACTCAACACCGGAGCCACCAAAGCAATCGCACAAACCATCGCCATGTTTGCTTCTTCTTCGTCACTCGCGGCGCGGTCAACTCGTCGCGAGATGTTTTCTGGCTCGGCTAGATGAAAACCGACAACGGCAAAGTGGCGTATGGACACACGGCTCTCACATTACGGGCACTATACTCACATACCGCGGTAAACAGGACCGATGCCGGCGAAACGGCAGTCGGCACACCAGCGAAGAAGCCCTCAACGGGAACCGGCGGCGCAGGCCGACGCAGCCCCCCCTCCCCGTGAGCGTCTGGGTTCGAGATTATTGTTCGGTTTTGCTCCTTGCGATCGAGGCTAAAAAGAGCACTTCCGGACAGAGGTCTATTTTCTCGAAAAAACGAGGCTGTAACGTATCGTTTGATGGCGCAAATGCACGTATTTTCCACGTCCTTTTTTGTACAGTGTGTGAATCTCGCGAAACAGGCGACGAAAAGTGCTGGGTGAAAT